CGGCCTCATGATGATGAGTTGGATGTGTACACTCGGGATGGTTACCGCCGAAGTAAATAACCCCAAAAAATGTTAAAAGGCAAAAGCAAAAAAAAAAGAGAAGAAAACAAAAGACACTAGGCACCTGTACATGGCACTGGAAGGTGGTGTTGCTCGGGAGGAGCCAGATAGATACCCCTTTTCCATAAGTATACCATCATTACCAATATGTGTTCGGGCTACCGCTTCATTGGTGTGCTGGTGCCCGTCAGTCCCGTAATGCCTTCACCGGGAGTTCCCATCACCGGCCATGGAGCTATTCTGGGCATTGCTCTACCGCTGGAAACATCAAAGGAATGAGACTGGCAACTGCTTGCTGTGTACAAAGCTTCATGCGCCTTCATACCATACAATAGGTGCATTAATATTACCCACTGTGTATACGTCCCATCACTGCAGGCACCGGCTCAACACGACAGCTAAAGCAGGGCTCGAAACCGCGTGGCATAGTTTCGTGATCTGTGCCCTCGAGTCTCATGCATAGGCTCGGCTGCAAAAGTCAAAACGGTAGCGTTTAACAGGACAAGACCGGCGAGCTCTTTCCCTGTAGCAGTACGTGGATTCTCTGGGACCCGGGAGCGCGTGGTTTGCTTTGGGTAATCATCACGAGAGACCGTCATCCAAGTTTCATTTTATTCCACTCTTTTGTAAGGGGTCATCATCGACGCTTTCTAGATAATACTGACAGTAGCCGGGGCTCCTCAACGATCCATCCTTGTTGTTTCCTTTCTTTGTTGAGTATCCGCCGCCAATTTTTCTCCATCTTCTCGCGCCCGTAGAGACTGTTACGGCCATGAGGCAATTACTCTGATGGCTTCACTCCTCGGAAGTCTGAGAGCCACTTGGAGGTGAATTCATTTAACAAGCTCGCTCTCGCACGCGAATTTAGCAACGTATTTATTTTCTCTTTTATACGAAGGCACTCTTGCTAGAAGGCGATCATCCACTCTAAGCCCCAGAGAAGCATCGTATAAGCCGCCCCAAGTTGGCAGTAGATAAAGTAGAGCCAGAGGCTTCGCATATAGGGACAGAACGCACGAAATTACCAGTTAATAGGGGTAATAACGGCATAAATTCCGTCAATGAGCACATAGTCGCCCTTATCGTCAACGTGCTTAAAGAAAAGCTGTTGGTGGACATAGTAGCCGTGTCCATGGAATAGAGCTGGCGATTGTAGACGAGTTGATCCACATCTACTTGAGTGAGAAGCGCCTCGACTTCCTTGTCGATATTCATTTCCGAGGCGACATCTTCAAGCCTTGTAGGAAGCGAATCCGGGGTGGCTCTAAAAGCATGGAAGACACCGGTGCTGACGAGTGATAACAATCTGCCACTAGTGGCAACTCACCTCGCGTCTTGATAAATAAATACATCGGTCTTACTAGTACTGTGATCTAGATGTCTGAATAAAACCTCACAGCCTCGCTTTGAGTTTAGATTCGTATGAAATATACGAAGAGATCTTTCTCTGTCGAGCAATTTAAGAGTTGAGCTCTGCACCGTGAGTTGTTTCCTATGTAAGTGCCCATGGCACCGTGTGAGGGTTCCTCTTGATTACTGTACGGGCGCCCTATCTCTGCCCCGCGTCTCCGCAGCTCGGAGTAAGGCAGGTACCCTCAAATCAATTAATCTACCTGAAGCCTTGAAAGGGCGGGATCGAAGCTGTCGCGGGGTGAGTCAACAAATAGAACGAGGGCGCTCCAAACGAGGCGGCCTGCCTCAGCAACACAACATATCCCAAACACGCACCCGGATATCGGGCATCTGGCACACGACCGACAATCTGACACCCGATTTCTGACCATGGCACAAGCAGTAGGGAACCATTTCTGTCCTCCATTTCAGTCCTCCATTTGCATCCCGCCTTCGACGATGGCTGACCATGTGCGCCCGACCGACAGGACGTCATTCTACCGTCGCTGGAGACAGTCCAGGACTTGCTCTCCCAGCCGCCGCCCGAGAACGCCAAGAAGCCCAACATCGTCCCGTTGTACGGCCAGATCTCGGCCGACTTAATCACGCCGTCGGCCGCCTACCTCAAGGTGTCGGCCCACTCCAAGTCCGACTTCTCTTTCCTCTACGAGAGCGCCGCCACCGAGCGTGTCGGCCGCTACAGCTTCGTCGGTGCCGGCCCGCGCAAGATCATCACCACCGGTGAGGGCCATGGCGAGTCGGTAGATCCCCTGCCCGCCCTGGAGAAGGAGCTCGCCGAGCGCGTCGTCGCCCACGTGCCCGATCTGCGTCTGCCGCCCCTAACCGGCGGCGCCATCGGCTACGTCGGCTACGACTGCGTCCGCTATTTTGAGCCCAAGACGGCTCGCCCCATGAAGGACGTGCTCAAGATCCCCGAATCCCTGTTCATGCTCTTCGACACCATTGTTGCCTTCGACAGCTTCTTCGGCGTCATCAAAGTCATCACATATCTCAGCATCCCCGACGACCTGGCCTCCTTACCGGACGAGTACGAGAAGGCCGCTGCCGTCATTCGCGAGCTCATTGATGTCCTCACCGCTCCCGAGATACCTATTCCCGAACAGCAGCCCATCAAACTAGGCCAGGAGTACACATCCAACATTGGCCAAGCAGGATACGAGAACCATGTCACCGAGCTCAAAAAGCACATCGTCGTTGGCGACATCATCCAGGCCGTGCCCTCGCAACGCTTCGCGCGCCCGACCTCGTTACATCCCTTCAACATATACCGTCACCTACGCACGGTGAATCCGTCGCCCTATCTATTCTACATCAACTGCCGAGACTTCCAGATTGTAGGCGCCTCGCCCGAGTTGCTGGTAAAGGAGGAAGACGGTCGGATCATTACGCATCCTATTGCGGGGACGGTGAAACGCGGCAAGACGCCGGAAGACGACGAGCGGCTCGCCAATGAACTGCGATCCTCGCTAAAAGACCGTGCCGAGCACGTCATGCTTGTCGATCTCGCGCGGAACGACATCAACCGCGTGTGCGACCCCCTGACAACACGTGTAGACCGCCTCATGGTGGTTGAGCGGTTCAGTCATGTCCAACACCTTGTTTCGCAGGTGTCAGGCGTCCTACGCCCTGGCCAGACGCGCTTCGACGCCTTCCGCTCCATATTCCCCGCCGGCACAGTTTCGGGTGCCCCCAAAGTCCGGGCCATGGAACTGATCGCCGAATTGGAACAGGAGAAGAGGGGGATATACGCTGGCGCTGTGGGCTACTTTGGCTATAGCAGCGTTGATGCGAAGGGGAACGAACAGGAGGGGGCCATGGATACATGTATAGCCCTGCGCACAATGATGGTCAAGGACGGCGTTGCCTACCTACAAGCCGGTAAGTTGATCACTGAACTAGTCCCTGCCGCCAGGGACGTTAGCATTGCGGATCATTATGTGACTAATGCAATATTTTCACAGGCGGCGGTATCGTCTTCGACTCGGACGAGTACGAGGAGTGGATTGAGACGATGAACAAGCTCGGCGCGAACATGCACTGCATCACGTCAGCGGAAAATCTGTACGCCAAGCGACAGAAGGCATAGACGATTTCGTATCTACAAATTACATAGACGTGTCAAGAGTTCTGAATCGAAAGACCACTGTCTACCAACCCACCTCGTCAGAAGTCTGAGTTGGGGTTCATCCGTTGTTTATGTGCTATCATCGAACCGATCTTACTTAACCCTACCTAGTTGAAATGAAATGCCATTACTTGTCACTAACCTCTGGGGACAAGTTCTGGGGTTTCCAAAACCGGTGCGAAGAGCATCATAGCCGAGCATTATAGCCTCAAACCATATACGAAGTATTAGCAACACTTGCCGTCTTGGGGTTTCGCTTCGAGGCTAGCTGTGGTAACCTACTTCATTTCATCGGCTGCCCTGTCGCGAGAAAGGCAGTAGAGACCATAAATAACAAGAGAAATTGAGGGTTGATTGTGGACACTCCTAAAAGGTGGCTGTGGCAAACCTTACAGATAGGGTATCATGAGCATTACAGTCCTCCGCACGTATTGCCTTGTTTTCTTTTACAGTAAACTTCACGACTTGCGCCAGGATGTTCTCATAATCGTCTATTTTTATAGTACTCTGGTGAGATTACTCCTGTAACTGTTCTTGTCATCGCCCGCTTCTCTATCAGATCCCTGAGCTTCCCATCCACCTGTCGTCCTATGCCAACCCGAAGCGCTATAGGTGGTGTGTGGGAGGTATATATATATACAGGAAAATCGTTTTAAAACTGTGAATGATAGCACAATTATTCAGTCTATTAGTATGATACAAATGCATACATAAACCCATGTGCTCGTGCAATCATCCAGGAACTCTGTGTGGTTGATTCAACCGCCACCTAGTACCTCCCTGACCCAACATTAGTACTAATCTGTCTAATCGGTAGGAATAGCACAATATAGGACCCTCTCCCGTGTCGGGCGCCCTGCCACAGCTAGTAGAGCCCGTTCCCATTAAACAGTCTCTTCTCCCGTTCTGTGCTAATCGCTGTGATGCCATGCGCAAGATGAGATGCTGTGTCTGGTCTCACTTAAACAAAACATAAAGCAGTTGTGTCAACGATAGCAACGCCATCCGAGAAGCTCTCCCGTCAACTCTATAACGACGGCGAACTAGAACCGAAGGATACAACCACATTCGGTACCTTAGCTTCACAGCCTGCGCCTTCGGTGGTGACAACATCCAGCCACTCAAGTCCCAAACACCTCGTGCTCCCACGTCTACTACTCATTACTATAATTATAATTTTTTCGCAGATTGTGTACTACGGCACACCAGCAGCCCTGCGCACCCAAATTTCACCAATCTAGAGACTCGAAGAACATAATAACTAGCACGTGTAACGAAAGAGGATGGGGATATATGTTTTACAAGCCACCACCAGAATCCCCAAGTACAAGTCAAATGAGCCGCACCGCAATGCCTAATCAGCTGTTGAAGTACTGTCACATCATGGTATGTCGTCATCACAAGTCGTATGGTCTAATGGTTATGATTTCTCGTTCACAACTTCATGTGTTCAACTGCCCCGAGAAGGTTCCGTGTTCGATCCACGGTACGACTAAGACAACATCTAAATGTTTCATTTTTTTTGTCTTATTGCTTTTCATTCTTACTTCGTTTCTTCGACTCATCTATATTTTTAGGACTGCGTGGGATGATGGCACAATGATAATACGCTGGCGCAGACACCCATAGGGTGTTGGCTTGGCGAAAGGGGACAGGGGACGCATCTCAGATAGGTACCTGTTCTATGGATAACCACCAAGACTCACAGAGTAGTAAAAGTCGACCACTAAGAAGGAAGTATGGATGGGGCGTATCACATCGCCACGCGTCCCTAGAGGGCTGGATTTCTAATTCTGTAAGGCGGCCGATACGAGTGTTCGTATCGACGGCGGACAACTTTGCCGCGGCTCTTGCCCCTCGGCAAGCCTCGGATGTAACCCTCTGAGTTCCGCGGCGGAGTTATCCAAGCCGAGCATTCTAGTCTAGCCGTCGCATCGGTTATGCCAGGCAAGCTAGTTTTGGCTCGGCGGCGGCGGAGAGTCCCATTCCTCGACAATGAATAACTACCCCCCGGAAGAAAGATGACACTGACTCTGACGTTTCGCGCTCATAACTAAGAGCGCTCTTCGTGCCTAAGGCAGGCACTAGACTTTTTATGCCCACTCTTGTCTACCCAAGTAACGGCGGGAATTATGAATCGCGCGACTGATAAACTTAGTATGTTATGACTCAAGTTAGGTGGTCACTACGGGATATTTCGATGCGCGGATTCGTAACCCGCCCGCCCTAGATATGGCGCATGCAAGCATAAATCTGATGAATTGACTCATCGAGATGATGCTTGCCACTTTTCCAAGTCAAGCTTGCTTTTAGGCTACTATCGGACCATATCAAAAAGCAGCCCATGATTACTCCTTTCTTCCAGATGCCCCCATTAAGTTGCGTAATGCTCTAGTAACTGAGCAGACAAATGCTTCCGTTCCTGTCTAATGCATAAACCGATCCCAGTAAAAAAAACACACAAACACCAGTGATCAGTAGTGATCTTTTTCTCTACCAGTAATCTTTCTTTTGAGCAAATTAAGCATTGCCCCCTGTCCTCCTCGGGGCATTAGAAGCAGCGGCGTGGTCCATGTCATCTTTTGGTTCCTCGGACATATCCTTGCCGGAATCGGGGGTGGGGACTTTGACTGCGCCGGGCATGTTACCGAGGGCGGTGGGTGCATAGTCGCTCCTGGCTCGGATCCGATGGCCGTAAACGTAGAACAGTACGGGAATAGGGATCAAAACAGCAGCAACAGCGCCCAAGAGCGTGGAGGCGTATTCAATACCAAGCCCGTTGAACATGTAGGTGGCAAATAGGGGGAAGGCAGCTCCACAGAGAGAACGCAGGAAGGTATTGGCAGCAATGGCCGAGGCAGCACTAAATAGGGTGTTAGTCTATAGATAAATTGCGCGCTGGCAAGTCAGATGGAACTTACAACATGAGGTAGGCATCGACAAGGTAGTTCAGCGATTGCAGGAAGATGGTCAATAGCCCGAAGCCACTAAGGATACCAGAGAGGGCGGGGACGATCCAGTGAATGTCACTACGGTATCCAGACCAGCCGAACCAGAAGATACCTCCAGTAAAGGCAACACCACCGGCAATGACAACGGGTAGACGCCATTCGGGAATGGGCATTCCGTTATTGGCGGCAAGCTTGCGTTGGTACCATGGCTGCGTCGCAAGCACGGCAGCACCTCCGAGGAACTGACCAATGACCATACCTAAGAAAGCTAGGCCGGACTGGCCGGAGTTGAAGTGATGTACGCCCTGGAAAACGAAGGGATACGCGGTCAAGAAGAGATAGAGGAGGCCATAAATGAAAGCCATGTAGATGGAGAGTAGGGTGACGATGGGCTCCAAGAACAGCAGCTTCATGGGTCGGGTGAAGTTCTTCTGGATGAGCTCCTTGAGGTCGACCTCAATTTCCTCCTGCTTGGCATGAATACCCCAGTTCAGGGTACGACGGCGCAACTCAGCAGCCTTCTCGACGAGGACGACGGGAGGATACGTCTCGGGCATAAAGAGCAGATCGAGGGCGAGTGCAAAGAAGCCCATAAAAGAGGTGATGTACAACGTCCAGCGCCAGCCGAGGTAGGACTCGACAATGAAACCTCCCACGAAAGGCGCCAGAAGCGGGCCGGTGAAGACGGTCATGGAAAAGAGCGTAATGGCGATACCTCGAGTTGCGTTGTTGAACATGTCGGAGAAGACGGCACCGACGATGGTCAGTGGCGAGGCGCCGAAGAAACCAGCGAAGAATCGGCATATCAACAGCGTCTGCAGATCCTTGGAAACAGCGCAGGAAATGGTGAAGATGGAGAAGCCAAACATGGAGATTAGAATGGGTAGACGGCGACCCTTCAACTCAGACAGAGGCGCCCAGACGATAGGCCCGGTGGCAAAGCCCAGGACGAAGAACGAAACGCCTAATATCCCGACTTCTGTGCTGACGTTGAACTCTTTTGCGATGTAACGGGTTGCAGGCGAGAAGATACTGGAAGTGAAGGCTGCCGTTAAAGTGGTGTAGCCGAGAATAGCGGCCGTCACGAGCCTGGGCGAGGTTATTGTCAGCTACTGGTTGTATGTCAGTCGGAAGGGGGGAGGCTTGTGACCTACTTCTTCTTCAGCGGCCAGTTCTGGGGGTGATAGGGATCGTCAGGGCCGTCGAACTCGACGACGTAGGCTTCACGATCTAGCAGCGGCGGGAGAGACTTGCCCCCACCGAAAGCAGGCATGGGCTTGCCAGCATCTGGGTTCTTCGAGTTGGGATCGCGACCGACTGTGCTGTTGTGCTGGCTGAGCGCTGTATGTACCCGGCTGAGTTCCGTGGGACTCCGCTCTAGTTCGTGATGTGTGGGGATTCGCCCGATGCTGAGCGGGCGTTGTGAGAGAGCGCCATCGTCGCTTGACGACGTGGCCGACGAGTTTGAGACGACACGCTCGACTTCATTGCTTGACCTCTCTGCCCTGGCGGGCTCACGGCCGACTTCGCCGAAACTCATCTTTCCGTGGCCGTAACCGCGTCCGACGACCTTTCTGTGTCGAATACAATAAGTTATCCGTAGCTTCTTCTGCTTCTTCTTCTTTCTGTTGTTGTTACTAGGGAGATAGATTCCCTATCTGATGATGCTCTAGGAATCTGAGACCCAATAAAGGCGGCTCCGTTTATGTATATAAAAGAGACGGTTAGAGCTGTAAGGTAGCGGCCCGATGCTTCTTGGCTCGGCACAGACGCTCCCGGGGATATGGTAACTGCAGAAGAGGCGCAGGAACGAGGTGAGTTGGGAATGCAGTTGGGTTTATTAGCGGCGAGATGGAGGAGGAGGAGGGCGACGGGCTCGTAATAAAAGGAAAAACGTCGCCGCCCTCGCGAGGGACCGCCCTGCCCGTTCGGCTGAAGTGCCTCGGCGAATGACATGTCAAGCACTGGATCGGACATAACGAGTCCGTCGAACGAGTCGCTCTTTCGCCTCTATCTTTTTTTTTCTGGGCCGCGGTTGCACACTAGCAGTGCTGGTGTAAGTCGGAAGTGGAGCCGCAATGGGCGCTTCGAGTCCGGTTCGATGACGAAAGACTGCCAAAAGCGGATGTACCTCTACTTGCTTCCGGCCGAGTGGGTCCGACGCTTGCATAAGTCACACCCGACCGATCGTTTCTTTGGCATGGTCAAGATCTGGATGCCGAGGCAACACCGCCTGAGGCTCTGTAGCGAGGGGCCCCCAGTGGACCCGAGTCTGCTGCACCATGATAAGGGGGTGGACTCCAGCTCGTATGCGAAAGCGAAGCAGTGCTGGACTATCTAGAAAAGCCTAGAAAAGCCGGCGCTTGCCGCTGATGAAATGTGCACGCTCCCACATCGCGGGCCTGTTGGGCACCCACGGTATTATTAGATGCCAGGGTAGGGCTGCCAAGGGGACGGATACTGCCCTTAGACGCGAATCCCGATGCGGAATTATATTATTAATCCCATACCACCGCCGCCTGTCCTGTCACGACGAACTGTGCCTCTCTGACCGTGGCCATTCTCAGCCACCCGGATGCGTGTTCTGTCAGTGTAGGTACCTAGGTGTCATGTCAATCGTGTCACACAGCGCATGCAGGTTGCATAACTCCGATTCATCGCATCGATAGGTACCGCAGCTGCACAGAGGTACCTAAGTTTCGGTTATGTAGGGATATGCATACGGAGGTTATATCTGGTCCGGCTTATTGATCCGGTTTGCAGAACAACCAACCAGAAGAAAATACTTCTGTAGAAACCCGAACCTCAGTCAAGATGGGAACGGGTTGTAGGGGAGCAGAACTGCCGATAGCAAGGTCCGTAGAAGGTACCTTAGGTATCGATACATCTGATCAATTTCCTCGGTCGCCCCATCGGCCCCATAACGAACCACTTATTGTATGTTTAGTTGCGTCAACGTTTATAAGCAGGGCCACCTCGGTAGGGCCTAGCGGGTAGCAACTGTTGACTCGGTCCAAGTCTAGAAGCAATAAAAAAAAATGAAAGGGGGGGATTAGAAGCACAAAATGGTAATCGTGCCGTACCACGCATAAGGCCTTTTTCATTTTCTACCAGACGTCTAATCTTACAATCTTACGTACTCTCTCTCCCCTTCTCAATTCGGACAATGCCCTTTGTTTGTAATGCATGGAGAGCTGGGCATGTCGCTGCACAAAGTTGCGCCCGTGACCGTCCGGGGTTAAAGAGTACGGTATCCGATGCACAAGGACGTCAGTTGACGGGGAGGCTGTACCGTACTAGTTATGCATAATCTCAGCGTCAGATCGGATCTACAACTCTCATCATCATCATTACCATCATCACCATCCCTGATACTGTTTGTTGGTTTGGTCGGAGGCATTGGTCCATGCGACTCTATACGTGCAATGTTACTGTAACATCCGAGAAGCCTACCTGACGCAATCTTTTTGCTTGGATTCTCCAGCATTGGCGAATGAGCAGATACTATGTCGTACACCACGAACTCAAGTCATACCCAGCAGCA